AAAACCAGACCGGGTTTGGATACTTAAACCAACATGTACGAGGCCCTGAAGCGTTTAGATATCTGAACCCTGACTGGAAAGGACCTCCAAAGACCTCCAAAGACCTCCAAAGACGTCTGTGACCTGGGTTTTGATACTTAAACCAACATGAACATGCCCCTGAAGTGTTTAGATACTTAAAACCAGACTGGGAAGGACCTCTGAAGATGTCTATGACCTGGATTTAGATACTTAAACCAACATGTATGCTCTAAAGCGTTTAGATATCTAAACCCCGGGCTGGGAAGGACCTCCAGGACCTGGATTTATATACTTAAACCAACATTAAGCGTTGTTGGGCTGGTTGGGCATGGGTCTGTGGTAGAGCTGGTAGACCCTGCCGGGGTGCACGGCGGGCAGTTGCTCCATGGGCAGGTCCACCTGCTGGAACCCGTCCTGCAGCCCCCGCATTAGCAGGTTTGCTACCCTACTGGTGATGGGCTTAGATACTTAAACCAACATGTACGAGGCCCTGAAGTGTTTAGATATCTAAACTGGTAGGGACCTCCAAAGACGTTTGTGACCTGGGTTTGGATATTTAAACCAATATGTACGAGACCCTGAAGCATTTAGATACTTAAAACCGGACTGGGAAGGACCTCCAAAGACGTTTGTGACCTGGGTTTGGATACTTAAAACCAACATGTACGAGGCCCTGAAGCGTTTTGATACTTAAAACCAGACTGGGTTTAGATACTTAAAACCAGACTGGGTTTAGACACTGAAACCAATATGTACGAGGCCCTAAAGCGTTTAGATATCTAAACCTGGACTGGGAAGGACCTCCAAAGATGTCTATTACCTGAGTTTAGATACTTAAAACCGGACTGGAAAGGACCTCCAAAGACATTTGTGACCTGGATTTAGATACTCAAACCTTCATGAACGAGGCCCTTAATTGGCTCTTAACTGTCTAGATATCTAAACCCCGGGCTGGCTGGGCATGGGTCTGTGGTAGAGCTGGTAGACCCTGCCGGGGTGCACGGCGGGCAGTTGCTCCATGGGCAGGTCCACCTGCTGGAACCCGTCCTGCAGCCCCCGCATTAGCAGGTTTGCCACCCTACTGGTGATGGGCGTGGTCTCCCGGGTCCGGGCCAGCTCGGCCAGGTCCAGCCACTCGCAGCGCAGGCACTCCTGCGTGCAGAAGTCGATTTCGTGGCTGAGCGGGGTCAGGCGGCAGATCAGGTACAGGTCCGACATCCCGAAGGCTCCGGGCAGGTCGTGCTGCTGCCGCACGCTGAGCAGCGCCCGGAACTCCGACCGCACGCCCGTCTCCTCGAACACCTCGCGCACCGCCGTGGCGCCTGAGGGAGAACCGGAAAAAACTCAGAAAGAGAGACAAATAGGCCTGAGGCCAAGGATGGATATCCGACTCCTCCCACACCAGGTCTGAAGTGGAGACGAAACTTTACTGTCTATACGAAATCGGAAGAAAAACAATGTCCTAACCCTAATCCTAACCCTGACCCTGACACTAACCCAGCCCTAACCCTGGAGGAAGCCCAGGATGGATATCCAACTCCTCCCACACCAGATTCGGCTATTGTGATTAGGTTATATGACTAGCAGCTTTCTGAGGTGGAAACGAAAGTTTACTGTCTATATGAAATCAGAAGACAAACCATGTCCTAACCCTAAACCTAAAACTAACTATTACCTTAACCCTAGACCTAACCCTGACCCTAATCCTAACTCTAACCCTGACCCTAACTCCGACCGCACGCCCGTCTCCTCGAACACCTCACGCACCGCCGTGGCGCCTGAGGGACGACCGGAAAAAACTCAGAAAGAGAGACAAATATGCCTGAGGCCAAGGATGGATATCCGACTCCTCCAAAATAAGAGTTGGCCGTTTTGATTAGGTCTGAAGTGGAGACGAAAGTTTACTGTCTATACGAAATCGGAAGAAAAACAAGGTCCTAACCCTAAACCTGACTCTAAACATGACCGTAAACGTGACCCTAACCCTGACCCTAGACCTAACCCTGACCATAAACCCTAACCCTAAACCCTAACCCTAAACAGATCCCTGACCCTAATCCTAACCCTAACCGTGACCCTAACCCTGACCCAAACCCTGACCCTTATCCTAATCCTAACCCTGACCCTTATCCTAATCCTAACCCTGACCATGACCATGAACCGCAAAAACCCTAACCTTAAACCCTGACCCTAACCCTAACCATAAACCTAACCCTAACCCTAATTCCGACCGCACGCCCATCTCCTCGAACACCTCGCGCACCGCCGTGGCGCCTGAGGGACGACCGGAAAAAACTCAGAAACAGAGCAGATACAGTGGGGGAAATAAGTATCTGACCCCTTGCTGATTTTGCAGGTTTGCCCACTTACAAAAAATGCTTATTTTTCCTCATCAGATGGTTATCAATTTTTATAAATTCA